TTGCCTGGAAATGTCATAAAGCTCTGCAGTAAGTGTTGTTTGCCTAGAAAAGTAATAATGCTCTGAATTTAGAGGTATTTGCCTGGAAAGGCCATGATGCTCTGCAGTTAGAGCTGTTTGCTTGACCCTGATGATCTGAAGTTAGAGCTGTTTGCCTGAAAAGACCATGATGCTCTGTAGCTAGAGCTATTTGCATGGAAATACCATAATGCTCTGAAGTTAGAGCTGTTTGCCTGGAAAATTCATAATGCTTTGAAGTTAGAGCTGTTTGCCTGGCAAATGGCCATGATGCTCTGAAATTAGAACTGTTTGCCTGGAAATGCCATAGATCTCCGACGTTAGAGCTGTTTGCCTGGAAAGACCATAATGCTCCGAAGTTAGAGATGTTTGCCTGGAAGGACCATAATGCTCCAAAGTTTGAGCTGTTTGCTTTGAAAGGCCATAATGCTCTGAAGGTAGATCTGTTTTCCTGGTGAGAGGCCATAATGTTCTGAACTTAGAGCTTTTTGCCTGGAAAAGTCACAATGCATTGAAGTTAGAGCTGTTTGCCTGGAAAAGTCGTAATGTTTTGATGTTAGAGCTGTTTGCCTGGAAAAGTCATAATTCTCTGAAGTTAGAGATGTTTGCCTGGAAAGACCATAATCCTATAAAGTTAGAGGTTTTTCCCTGGAAAGAGCATAATGCTCTGAAGTTAGAGCTGTATGTCTGGAAAGACTATAATGCTCTGAAGCTAGAGCTGTTTGCCTGGAAACATCATAATGCTCTGAAGTTAGAGATGTTTGTCTTGAATGACCATAATGACCATAATGCTCTAAAGTTAGATTTGTATAAACGTTAGGTTTGTCTAGCGAAACCATTTGACGTGCAAAGTAAGATGCTTGAAACTTTGATGACGTGTATGTAATCAGTAATTTGAATATCGAATATGTTTTATTTGCATTTGTTTTCAAGCAAAATTTTAAGTCTACTTTAATGTCAATATATCATACTTGTTTATATGTAAGTTGTTATTTCATTGTTATATTGTATACTTTCGCTGCCGTAGTTTATACTCTCATTGCTATATTTTATACTCCCTTTACAATATGTTATAGTTTCATTGTTGTGTTTTACTTTTTCAATGATATATTATAATAGTTTCATTACTATATTTTATAGTGTCATTACTATGTTCATTAAAGCTAATACAAACCGACACAGGAAACAATAGATATGCTTAAAATACAGAAGGTTGCAGTCACTGCATTGTTGAATCATATCAAAATTACATATCATCTCTATTTTCTCTCTATGATTATTACTATTTGAGAAAAAGAAAGAGCATACTAGTTTTTTTGACATGTTTTAATACAAATTAATAATACTGTAGTTTAAATTATTGTTATTATTATTACTCAATTACGAATTTTTATCAAATCTCTGTTTCTTCAGGTCGTTCTGTCATATCCAAGTATAACAGAAATGTCTTTTCAAGGACACCTGAAAAGAAAATCATTCTACTGGAATAAAAGACCTGTGTTTCCTGTTTGACAACGCTCCGGTACATAAAGAAGCTATTGTGAAAGATGGTTTTGTTCAAGAAAATCAGATGCTGTCCTCAAACATGTGTATTCTCTATTCTTGGCAACTTGTGACTTTTTCTATTTCATAGACAGACAAAAACAACTTTCAGGTCATCGCTTCAAAAGTAGAAATAGATCACTGTCGGCCACTGTTCAGGTTTGCCTGAGGATGACTTTGTTGAAGCATGAAACTTTGAATTTATGTTGGAGGAGATTTTTTTGAAGGGTTGAAGTAGAAATTTGTAAAACACTTGCTCTTTTTTTAATTTATTAGCTATATTGCATAAAATATTGACCTACCCTTGTAAAACATCACTTTATTTGTTTCATTCGGTTTTTAACATGAAAATCTTGTCGACAGTTTGACATAGTGGAATGCAGTTAAACGCAGATAAGGTAAAAATAATAATGTTTAATGATAGCTTGAATTGAGGAAAGTAATGCTTGTTATGAAATATTTCATGATATATTAATCGGTTAGCACAACAGTCACCAGTTGACAATCATATGCTCGCCATGCAGTTCATAATCAGATTTTGTTTTCTGAACGCTATTGATTTCTGGTAAAAAGACTGTTGACAGTTTGGCTGGCGATTCGGACTTGGGGTAAATTTCACCTCTCCACCTTTTTTTAGCCATTTTAACCAATTTATTACAGAAATAATTTATTACTTTTTGTTTTTGTCGTCGGATGCCCTCAATTCGTCTTGTCCTAGAGTCAATACCATTACTGTTATATCAAAAGGTATCAACAAATGTTTGTTACAAAAGAAAAGAGCTGGATATTTTAAACATCAAAGTAAGTTTTATGCAAAATTTCTTCAACAGAAAAAGCTTGCATTAAGCAAAGATAAAGTAACACTGCATAAATGCTAAGGGTAACGAATTATTTCAACCCGTTGATATATTGAAATAGACTCAAATGTGCTCAAACTTTGCTGCATTTCTGAAGATATTTAAATTTTAGTCGAAATATGACGCTTCGATTTTGAATGTAAAAAAGTTTTAAATGCAAGTAGAGGGAGGCTTTTCTGTCAATGTTTTCTTTTAATGTCATGAACATACACATTATACGGTTTATAATTCCCCTTTCAATAATATAACCACTTGATAGCTTTCTATAAGCAAAAGCTTTAACGACATTATTATCCATTTCTATTAGTTTTGACTCTTAAATATTAAGCAAAGTAGCAAAAATGTAGAAATAAAGGTAATCAAGAGCATTGCCATTATGTCCCTTTACTCAAAAATGATGTTTTTTTTTGTTTTTGATAGTTCATTCTCTTTTCTATTTCACAAAAACACAAAATATTTTGTGTAACTATCTATTTTATGTTTCAATTAACCGAATAAGAATCTTCTTTTCTAAAGGAATTTTTGAAATATTTTGCAAATCATCAGCGTTTTGGAAAATATAAAAATTACACCACTTTGCTTTTAAATGTATTGAAAAATTGTTGATTGAATAAATAAAACAAGGCTATATCATTTGAAAAAAAGTATATCAAATAAAATTATATTATCTTGGCATTTTATTTATGTTTTATTGTAGAAGCCATTCCATCATCACAAGTCATAGCACAACAATTTAAATTGAAAAATAAGAAATTGTCTCTCAAAAAATGGAGAAAACACACTTTACACATTTTGACCGACTTTCGATGGATAAAAGTTTATTAATTTCTTTTCGAAAAGATAAGTGTACCTTGGCCGTATACTTTTTTCTAGTGTTACAAAATAGAACGATTTCAAAGGTGTAATTCAATATAAACGATATTTATTATCAGTGTTGAAGTGTTTGAGAACCCGTTGAGTCAGTATCAAACATTCTTGAGGGGTTAAGTATTTAAATATTTGCAAATCATTTTGATAAACAACTTTATCTTGCACGTCGATTTGTATTTCCAAATATGGCTTTTAACGAATATACCTACATACAAGGTCGTGGGAAATTTGTTAATTTTGCAAACTTTCTAAAGTTTATCTGTTTTTATGTTTGTTATTACATTGAAGCCAAAGATAAAAAAAATCTTATAAAACAAGAAATGGAAATACTAAAACTGTCTATAAGGCACATGTATGTCCATTTATTACTTGGTGAGCTGGACATCCGAGCTTTGTTACATCACTGTAACCCGCAACGAACACGATAATCACTCTGTACAACTGTATTTGTCGACTTAGAGAAAGAATATTCCAGAATGAACAGGAACAGAACTTTCTTGAAAGAAGGTGAATGGACATGAAAAATTATATAAACATCAAATAAATAAAATTATCAAAAATGATAGTGGCATGAGTGGGTACCGAACCCACGACGTCGCGATTATCATTCACGCGCTCTACCTACTGAGCTGACGAAAAAATATCCAAAATAAAGCCTATATTAATAACACTATGTTTATATAGCGCAAATGACGTAAAGATATGTGTTATTACACTAATGTAATATGGTCTTTATTCATTGGTATTATTACACCCCTGTGCCGCGATTTATATGATAACATAATACTTTTATGATTCCTGAACCAAAGTAGTTTTACTTTTAGGATGGTCTAGTTAGAAACAATGCTGTAACAACTTTTAAACAACCTTGTAACATCTATGTTACCCTACTTAAGTCGATTTCTGACCATTTTTTAGATTCTGTGCTATCACACTTAAGGTAGTCTCTTTAACATAACTGTTCTAAAATTTATATATTTATATACTATATACATGAATTTGATTCTTGCAGATCGCAGAATTCCTTCTTATTAAACACTGTATGATATTCATTGAGATATGTTGCCTGCTTTAAAAAAATCCTTTGTTTTTTTGTCTGTTGTAAAACCTCTGATCACATCTAATAAAGTTCGCCAATTGTTTTCAATTTAAGGGCACACACAATTATTTTACTTGGCTTCATTCTGTCGTCTCATGGCTAGCGCCTTATGAAAACATCAGCGGGTGATTCTTACGGTCTATTCTCTGTTATTGTAAGGTTACTATGTGCTCGAATTGGAGAGATTGTTTCTGTCTGTACTGAAACAGATCTTTACAAAATTAAAGTAAATCAAATTAGAATACAATATTGAGGCCCAAACAGAATTCTATTGTCAGAATATATGAAATGACAAGTGTATCATATTGCGATTGAAGAATATAATGAATAAAAATAAGAAAATTAAGGGGAAATAATATAGGTAGTGTATACATGTATGGCATTTTATGAAATTGATACAACACAGTGATACTTAAGACAATGTACCGATCTAAACATTATGCATGTTTATAAAACGCATTTTATTGATTTTATCTTATGTTCGATATATTAAAGATATTTTTTTTTCTTCGCCCATCTTTAAGTAATACAGGTATGTACATGACTGTGTTAAAGATACTTAAAATCGTGTCTATGTTTAAAACGATCATCACTGGATCCGGGAGACAGTTTAAACAAGGGTGTTTATACTGATTTATAAATAAGTCGTAAAGATATGTACAAGCATTGTGCGATAAGAAAAATTGATGAAATAATCTAAATCATAGAGGGGGTCTTGAAATGTGTTTTTAGTTACAATAGTTAGGAAATTTTACCAAGATAAAGTAGGAAATCAGGTAAATTTACATAATTTTATTGCTTTTAAACAATGATTATGTCTTAAGAAAATTTTAGCCAGACATATTGTTTTTACTTTCGCCGTCTGTCTGTCTGTCCGTCCGTTTCCACGTTAAGTGTTTGTTAATTGTCGTGCCTAAGAATTCAACAGTGTTTTTTGATAATTTAATTTAACATTTCTTAACATTAAATTTGATATAATTTCATTGTTAAATACATTTATTGCAATTTTGTTTTAAAGATTACTAACAATAACTGCATTTTCTTAACCTCTAATTGTTTAGATCCAGAAATGAACCATGTGGCAGAATCGTCTACAAATTGTAAAACTTGTGCATTTATTGTTTAGTCATCATTATTAATTTTAGAATAAACTACTCCATACTAACTCCATTTCTTGTTAAAAACAACGAAAAACAAAACAAAACAAAAAACAACAACAAAAAACAACGACAACTAAAAAAAACACAGGTTAATGTTTCGAGCAGATACATGAGTATGTATGTTTTAAGAGCAAAGTTAAATTTAATATCCATTTTCCTCGTTTTTAGTTACAATAGATAATGGTCTTTTTTGTATGGTGGATGATTACGTAAAGTTAGCAAATATTAAAGACAAAAGTGACTGTAAAAGAATGAACTTTAATTAGATCGTTTGCTTAAATCTCCCGTTTAAATGTTTGAAAGGACTCCACTGAGATTTTTTGACATGACGAGACCGGAATGTTTTTTCCTCATTAATATTCTATTTGATGAAGGTCTAGACAAATAATGTGTGTGTACAATTTCAGACCATTCGCTCTCTCCGTTTTTCTAGAATAATGATTCTTATTGTGAAAAATGTCTCAAAATTAAAAAGCGTTTCAACGCTTGTCGATCAAATCGGGCTTGAAAGAGCCCAAAAGTACGATTTTCAATCTATATCTGAATATTTTTATGAACAACTTTTGGATTTTTTTGTTTAAGCGGCCCAGCTGATCTTTGTAAAAAAAATGTGTTAGGCTATTGGACATCAAAGTAGATATTTTAAGATTAAAACATAAAAAGTATGAACATTTGTCCTGTATCGTTTTTAAAATGTAAGGAAAAAGGTCTTACCTCTTTTGCTTCTTTATTTATTTTCTTTCAGTTTTCTATAATGTTTTGCATAAAGTCGTTAAATAGAGAATTTTAAACCAAACGTTTGTATATATTGTAATCTTGTGTAAATTACAAATATTGTAATACTAAGCTGAGGTCAATTAGACCACAGTAATTCCTCTCATTGGAATATTGAAATTCAATGTTTCAATGAAATTAGCTGTTTCATATGAAATGTAGAATATACTGAAATACCATTACCACAAATCAACATGTCTTCTGCAGAGATTTTTAACAAAACGTTTGGAGCTGAACAAATTAGAAAAACATGTAACATATTAGTTTTTATTTGTTTGAGTCGTCAGACCTAACAAATAATGGTAGCGAAATTTCAGACCCTGATGCTGTTAATTGCAAATGCCGAAAGTAGTCCGCTTTTTGAAGCGGTTACTTCCCTTTATATGTACACTAACGCTGAAAAAATTCAAGGGAGATCACTGCGTAAAGATGGTCAAATGACAGGTGCATTATTTTCAAGCAAAATAGTTCCCGAATGGTCGAAGATTTCTAATATTGTTTTATCCTTTATATATATACATGCTTATAGTAAGCTCCATAATTATTTACATCTGTGTTAAACAACAGTTTGCATCGAAATTATAAGGGTTACAAACCCTAATTTAGAATAATATGGTTTTCTTCAGACCGTTAAAATATAACTCCACCGTGGCCGAGGGGTTTTTGCGCTCTGGAGTTCAAATCAATGGAGGCAACTCATTTTTTTTGTTTAAGTCAAATAAACATTGAATTGATTATCAGTGTTGCAATAAGTCTTATAGCCAATTTACTACAATTAAAACGCTGGAAAGCATTGGTGGCACTATACAAAAACAAATTGGTTTATAATCTCACAACCTTCACCTTTCTAACATTCTGAGACCCAAACAAATTCAGCGCCTTCTATGCTTTGATTTTTTTTTTTGGTAATCGTTACCCTAAACCATTACAGTTAAAGTGTGCGTATGTTGTGATTAAACTGCACGTAAACATTAATAAAGAATGATTGACGGGTGTTCCCTGTGTGCCACAATATAAATGATATAAAGTATTAACCCATTTATATAAGCAACCTTTGAACTTTTTGTTTTGTTTGGTACGTACTGAATCGGTCCACAAAGTACATCAAACATGTAATTTTTTAAGATTTTGCTATCATTATCATTAACATGTTAAAAGCTTTTGAAATAATATAATGTGACTATCACAGCTGACATTAATGACTGGAAAATAAAAAGTGATAATAACATTGTGCAAGTTCGTTTACCAATATTTTACGGAGTTACAGCTAGCCCCTCGCAGTTCTTTAACGAACAATCAAACAATAATTTGGTTTATTATTTGTTTAATCTTACTCACAATTGTTTTACGGTACATTTAGAATGTATATCGTATAATCTGTGCTGACATTTTGGTTTAATTATTGCTAGATGTGTATTTAATCATAGCAATCGTTTCGGTAAAGTATAAAAAATAAGCTCAAATGTGATGTCGACATAAGATTTTTTTTATCAATTTCAATTGTATGACCACTCGAAGACTCTATGGCAAGTTTAGGCATGCTTATTGAATTATAATTGATTCTTAAAAATATCATTCATGTCAATGGAACGTTGTGTATCGCATGTTACTATGATTCTCTAAAAATGGCTAGAATTTACAAGAATAGCATGTCAAATAATCAAATAACGGCTTTACCAACCACCTTGTATTATTTCAATATGCATGTAAGGGAAATAGGTACTTTAACATTAAATCGTTTTATTTACTCAAATTGAATGATTGAGTTGAACACAATACTATTTGTCAAGAAGCATAGCAAACATTGAGGTATTCGATCATTAATCTATGTTGGCTGATTTGTGCCATGTCGCATGATCATGTTTTCGCGGTGAAAAAGCGAAAACACGAAAAAACTTTTTTTCTTCTCTTGGCGGAGCGAAAAATGACATTTTGGCGTGTTCGCATGGCGACCTTTCGCCCCGCCACGCGAAATTACCAACAATAACTTTACCAACAGTTTGTTGTATCTTTGCTTGGCGGGGCGAAAACCTGCCACGCGAAAACGGCGACAAATCATAACTTTATCGCATTTTTGCGTGGCGACCTTTCGCCCCGTCACGCGAAAACGCGCCATATACTATCTGATGTGTTTTTACGTTTAATTTGTCTTGTCTTCGCCTGCCGGGTCGAAAACCCACATCACAAAAACACGCCTCATGTTGCACCTTGTGTTTTGGGCCCGCAATCAATCGCATCTCTGCATAGCGGGGCGCCACGCGAAAACACGAAAAAAATCACCTAGCTTTTTTCGCCTTCAGTTTAGGCATGCCTTTACGTTACATGTACAGATGAAAATGATGGACAGTAATAACAAAGACAGTATACTTAGTTTTTTCTTTGATTTAAGAATTATGTAAATATATATTCAAATCAGCCCTGCATCATGTAAACAATATTAATTAACATACCGGTTCGTTGATAAATAACGAGAATGTTGATGTTAAATGGTGAAATTAAGCATGTGTTTGAACACATATATGTCCTATTGCCGTGCGTTTATAAACGTTTTTGTTCCCCTCAACATTCACTTGGTTCACATTTTTATAATTTTTAGTGTTTGAAATTATTTTTGTCCAATGAAATTGCAGTATTTCAAATAAATCATAACACATTTACTTTGGTTAATAATCTAAAATTAGCTTGGAACATTTTTATTCTAGCAAACTTTCTTGATATACTCAGCATATTTACATATGATAAGAGGTGTACAGTAATATAGAAACAAATTTACTAAATGTATAATTAAAAATTATTAGTGGTTGGACTATGGTAAATTCTAGCACCGCTTGGTATGGTCGATTTCATTAGATGATATTTTGTCTAGATAAGTGTGAAGACCAGAACTCTCAATTTAAGGGGACAGGGGACATATCAAAATGATGGCCGCGGTCATTTAAAAAAAACAACAACTCAGACAGGGTTTTTTGAAGGTACTGGAAACTTTAAATATTTCTCTGCAACACTATGCTATTGCGAAAAACAGTTATAGTATATAAAACTCGATTGTTACGGAGATACAACACTGGCTGGGCGACATCAGGGGACTTTGCAAAAAATTATCTCGGCCTAACGGCCTTGCCATTTCGTTAACAGAAACATCCTTTGATGTCGCCCAAGCCAGTGTTATATCCTCGTAACTAAATTGTTTCATATACTATAACTATATCTGAAATCCACAAAATTCAGCATTTAAATGTAAAATAAGTACATGTACTTGTTCAAGAAACACAACAATCATATTTACATGCTAGTAGTACTTAAGTAAATCAATCATTGTTATCTGTAACACGATAAGTCGAAACTTTGAATCGATTTCTGCCTAACTAGTAACATGGTATTAAATGTCGTTTCTTTTATCAATTTGAAATACAAACATTTTACTGGTAATAAGGACAATTTTGTTCTGTAATATCAATCTATAGATTTGTTCTCAGGTGATTTGCAATATAACAAAGACTAGCGACTAGTAAAGCATTTAATCATTCTCGTGACATTCCACTCTCACGTAAATATAATAGAAGTGCAATCAAACTTTTTAATGAGCAAAATTGATATCATAAGGGATGTTTATAATATTGTGAAACGGTCTATTTTTTCCGGTCATTGATAATTGAAATAATTGAATAAAGATTGAAAAAAAAACTTTTTCTCAGATTGTTTACTTTCAACTGAGGGAAATTAGGCTTGGCAGTAGTTTATCCATGGCTGTAATATAAGAAGTCTTAAAAACTTAACCTTCAAAAGACACATGACTTGTAAAGAGAGATAACTAGTATAAATACTAACATAATGGCATACCA